AGCCAGTATAGGTACGGTTTTTAGTGATTCGTTAGTTTTGCTACTCTATTGCTTTGGGGTAGTGGTTTTTGGGAAAGTAATTATATTTTTTTTCAGTCGTTTTTTCGTTGCTCAAACAACAAACAGGCCAACAAAAAAAAGGCAGAGAATAGAGAATCCGGCAAAACAAAGAATACAAGATAGGCGGAAAATACGCCTTGTATCTTGTGTATACAAAATACGAACGACGCTTGCTCAGATTCTGGCGACAAATAATTGATTTTCGTCAATATTTGGCATACAAAATCAGAATTGGTTTTTTTGATCTTTTTATTGTACAGAGAAAATTTTCGTTAATTTAACTTCAGTTTGTATACAATTCTTAACCTGAAGTTGTTTTTACGCCGTTTCGACCAACTTGTCCACTAATTACAGTTCGGATAGATCACTTCTAGCTGTAACAATAGTTCAGAGCATTAACAATTTGCAGCAGAAACTTCATAATACTTTCATTAACCTTATGTGACAGTTACAGTTACTACCGTTGAGGTCAGTGCGACGATTCCACGAACAATAGCGGATCACTGTTTGCTACATTCCAATGGAAAATAAATGCATTGTAGTGCAAAAGTTGTATCAGCATTGCTGGACTCGTACAGTTCAGTTATTTAGTCCAAATATCCAACTACAGAAATAATCAGATTCATTATCGCCTGTGACTTTTCGGTATTTTCGAGTGGTTCTATAAAACTTAGCAACCAACAGCGTAGATACTGTTTCAGTGTATTTGACGTGCACTTGCTGCAAGACGATTATTAATTACCGGGGGGAAGGAATTGTTGCGACGGTATACGTCACCGATGCTGTTGGAAAACCAACGGCCACCATTCGGTTGATTTTGATTTTTGGGCTCTCATACATAGTTTCTTCGCCTATTTTGGAGTCAGTTTTTCGCCTTTAGTATTTTTTCCACTTCATTAAACCGCTTATCAATTTCCAAAAACTTTCCAGTTTTTCAATCGTAAATAGTTAGGAAAATTTAACTACGCTTTTTATTCCTTGCTTTCACAACTGCTGTAATGATGATGATACTTTTTGTTGCTAAATTTACTGTTTCAAATTTTGCTTTCTTACTGTCACTCTTTTACCCCTTGTCATCTGTAGCAATCAATGATGATGTGCGTCGAAAGTTGGAAAATTGTGGGTTGAACATCAGTTTTGCTTCTATTTGAGGTTTACTGTTGGGGATGAGGACTTCAACCCTGTACGGATTTTGAAAATAAATCATTTGACGAAACCACTACAAAAAAAGCTTTTTAATTAGTAAAATGACCCATTTATAAAGAACTTCATTCGACTTGGTTGTCTTTCCTTCGAAGATATTCCTCTATACTATTGATAAGTTTATAAAGTCTGCCAGCAGACATATGGCTGCAATACTATTCAAAACAGAAATCGTTTTTTTGGAGGGCTCCTTGAGAGGGCTGCACAGGTAAATAAATAAATATGTATATTGAAAGATTA